AACTGCCCTGATGCGCTTCTACAGCTCTCTGTATTTTACCCTGACTGTTTCTGTGATTGCTTATCGCTCCAGGTTCCAAAAGGAACGTCTCTGTGAGCATGGAAAGAAGAGTGCTGAACGAGTCAAGGGTTTTGACCATGTTGGATTGGAGGTTTTGGGTAGCGGTGGTGGGCCAGATGAGGTAACAGACGAGATTGGAAACGATCGAGCCGGTGAGGACGATCGAGCAGACTTGGAGAAGAGTGTGAAGACCACCTTCTTTGACGAGGACGACGAAGAGAATGATAGCCATCATACTACATGCTAAATTATATTGAAAAAAGAAATATGCCATAACGAAAAAGAATTTCGATATGAGAAATCTCATCAACAAATAGAATAGAAAGAAAAAAAAGGTCTTTTTACATACCAGTGTTGAATTGAGGGTTCGCCATCCACACTTTCAACCACGCGAGCAGACTCATCGAAATGCCGACCCATACAATAGCAAATATGTCACCTACCCATTCCAACCCCGGTTTCTGTTCCAACCACCAAAAGACGGACATACAGGAGAGACAAACGGCGGATGCGTAGACCAGTCCAAACATACAGAACACGTCGGCTTCCATCATACCGCCCATAGTTTTGGCCGGGTTGAAGTATACGGCGCTGCATAACGGGGACCAATCATTCGAAGAAAGAACAAAGAGTGGGAAATCAGATTTTTCAAAGTCAATGAAAGGCACATAGAGTTGTTGTCGATGACGATACGAAGAGAGAAGACTATAGAACTTACACAGTAGCCACCATATGTCCACTCGGCAATGGCTTACCTCCGCCTTTCCCTCTGGAGACCAAATCACTGATGAAACCGGATAGATAGGGAGAGAACGTGAACAAAGACGCTATAAAGTACGCTAGAGCACACTTGAATATGTTTCGATAAAGCAATGGTACAGTCGGTAATCGTTTCGGGGAATACCATCTCAAAGGTGGTTCTGTGATCGTTGGAGCAGATGGTGGTGGTGGTGGTCCACCATAAACACTGGCAGGTGTAATGCCAGCTGTCGTCGTCGACACATCCGAATCCGAATCTCCCGAGTCAGAGGAGGAACCGGACGAATCGAAATCGGAAGAGTATGAGTAGGCGGTAGAGTTTCTGAAGAGTTCCTCCTCCACGACAGGTGACTGTACATCCACGCTAGCGTATGAGTCCTCCATGCTTTGGACGACAGACTCCCTAGGAGTCACGTCTCCAGACATGTTCTGCCCATGTTGACCTCTCCTCGTCGATCTTCTGAGCGTTGATGTCTTTGGACTCGGCAACTGCCCTTCATTCTCCATCAGTTGGCCGAAAAGTGACCACTCCCTCTCTGCTCTTGCTGGACGACCTCCTCCGGTAGCTGAAACTCGTTTACGTGAACGAGGCGACGAAGTGGGATTAGGGCTGATCATGGGGGAAGTAACGCTGCGTCCAAGTGTTGGTCTAATTCTACTGCCATCTGAGGCATCTTGATCGTTCCGAGCTAGGGATAAGGTCGAGCCAGTACTGCTGATACTTGCGTAGTTAAGGTTCGACGTGGAAAGTCGAGGTGTTATTGGTCGTCTACCCAAGCTGGACTCAAATCTCGACAGGTTTGTGTTGGTCACTGGGTAGGAAAAACCTTCTTGAAGATTCTGAGGAGTCGGTCGTTGTGTTTGGGTGGTATTTTCTGGAGAGCCATGGACAAAAGTGACCCAGGAAGGACTTTGCGCTGGGTGGTTTGGTGGGGATGGTTCTTCAGACATCTTGTCCGTGGTGTTTGGGATGAGAGAAGGTCAAGAGTGCATCTATCAAGTGCCAAGAAGAGCCAATAGGAAAGAATGTAGTGGAATATTCAATGGACACGAAGGAACCTTGAGGAATAGAAATATGACGGATGTTGTTCATTTGTTGACCTGTGTTTCGCTTGCGACATGACGCTACAAAGACGCCTCGAACGATCGGTATTCGGTCCAGTTGGCCAGTCTTCTTATTTTTACCCCAAGCATGCGGATACGCAAAAATAGCGGCATTCAAACGAAGAGTCACCAGGTCCTTGCACAATTGTCAAGGAAGAGAAGACATTGCACAAATTCCTGATGACGATTGAATTACAAGTCCCCGGACATCCGAGTTTCTTCTCTGAAGGAACTTGTAAAAGTACGGTTTCTCCGACTTTGTTCGTATGCCTCAACTGAAAGTTAAGTTGAAGAGAAAAATAACAATATATATGCCTCAGTTTGGCTAGTAGTACAAACTTGAATCTATTTTCAGAAGAAAAAGAGCAAATGAAGGCAAGGTCTCCAGAGAGAACCAATAAATAGAGAAAACGAGGAACCAAATATCACCAATACCCCCAACTGTATCCCAGAATATACACATACCAAACCAACTCTTCTCAAGAAAGTCGCCAACTCCTAGGGACCTAAACAGCCCCATCTAAAAACTAAGTAATGTCCTCTCCCCCCTTCCCAATTTAAATTTTAAAACCAACATCTGTAATGTATAACCTCCAATCTCCCAATATCGTACATCCAATCCACCCAAAACCAATTCCTAGTGTTCACTTTTAATCCTTATGCAAATGCATTACTCATTACTCATACATCTCCCTCAACCTCCACCCCAGCCTTTTCGAGCAGCTTTTTCAAGGCACCACTTTCATGTAACCTTTTTAAATCGTCCGAGCCACCTATGGACTTTCCTTGGACAATGATGTTGGGGAAAGTGGATTGGGAGGTGAGACGGGTGAGGAGGGCTTTGATTTGAGTCGCGTCGTCTGCCATGGTAAACGCGCGGCCGAATAGATGTAGATGCGATGTGCGGGGTAAGAAGAGGGAAGAGGGGAGGAAGGTGACGAAAGAGTAAGTAAATTAGAAAATGAGGTCAGGTCTTGCTCAGAAGAGTGTTACCAAAAACACAACGCACCTCGTAAATCGACTTCGATGACCATGGGTTGAGGAACCAGCTCGTATTCCTCGAGAAGTCTCTTCGCTCGTGCAGAGAATCTAGAAGATTGAGATTAGTTTCTTTGAGTCCATCAATTATACAGGAGGTAGAATGATAGTATACGCACGGACAGAAGGACTAGTAGAAAAAAGAACGAGGTTATACACACAAGTCAGAACGACCTCCATCATTTCAAAAGTCTCAAAAAAACGACAACAACACTTTACCTTGCTGAAAACCACCACCGGAAACACATCATTCAATCTCTCCATCTCTTCCTCCCAATCCATCACTTCCCCAGGCGCATACACCTCCATCCCGACGGGTTCCGTAGGATCAAAATCCCCTTTATTCACCAAAACATGTTGATGCTCCTCGTCCCCGCCCGTCACCAAATGTATCAACCCGTAGATTTCATCCACCTTTTTACTAGAAAGTTGATTATTGTTAGGTCCTTGTTGCTTGAATTTGACTAGAGAAACGATGTTGGCGCGTGAGAGGTTACTACTGGAATCTCGAAGGATTGCAGGAAGTCGCCATGAAGAAGAGTCGGAGGAGTGGAAGAAGAAGAGAATGACTAGAAAGGCGAGGACAGTGAGAAGGAGGAAACGGCGACGACGGATGGAGGTTGAAGGGGGTGGAGACATGGCGGTAGAAAGCAAGGTACGTATGCGTTATATTTATGTGTGTACGTGGTTTCCAGTGCTTATTTCGTTATTCAAATTATTTTGACCTTGATCACGAACTCCCATCAATGCCGTCGCGTCCCGTTGAGTATGTGCTATTCGATATGGATGGTAAGTCTTTTATTTTCGTCGCTCTAAATTAAATGCGACCGTATCCATCTATTCTGAACAGGTTTGATGATTGACTCTGAAAAGATCTATACCGACGTTACTAGTCAGTAAGCTCCTGATCAGATTACCCCACACGCATTCATACGCGGTGGAATCCTAGACACCATCCTCGCGCGTTACGGTAAAGAAATGACCTGGGACATGAAAGCCGGTTGTATGGGTAAACGTACGTCTCCCAACTCCCCCAAGATCCTCAAGACATCCTTTAGTCTTATTCGCTATATCACCAGCCGAACGAGCAGCAGCCGAACACCTCCTAGCCTTCTTCCCCGACATCTCGCTCACTCTCGAAACCTACCTCAAAGACCGCAACACACTTCAAGACGAATCATGGCCCACCGTACCTTTACTCCCAGGCGTCAGAAAACTTGTCTTGCATCTCAAAAAACACGGGATTCCGATCGCCGTCGCTACGGGATCGCGTCGAAGGAATTTCGAACTCAAGACGAATTCGGAGACGAGTCAACCAGAAAAGAAAGAGGTTTTCGGGGTATTTGATGGAAAGGTCGTTTGTGGAGACGATGAACAGTACGGGATGAGAGGCAAACCGAATCCAGATATTTTCTTGGTTGCGGCGAAGGAAATGTTAAGTAGAGATGTCGGGAATTTGGTAGGGATAAATGAAGATGGGTCGAAAGAGTTGACAGAAGAGCAGCTTGAGGAACGTAGAAAGGGTCTGGTGTTTGAGGACGGGTTGCCCGGGGTTCAGGCTGGGAAGAGAGCTGGGATGAACGGTACAAACATTCATTCTCAAATTTTGGGCGTGCTAACGAGTTGTCTTCAGTTGTATGGATTCCTGACCCCAATCTCCTCAATGTTGAATATACCGGGGAAGAAAAGGCTGATCAGCTTCTCAAATCCATAGAAGATTTCCGGCCAGAGGAATGGGGTCTCCCCCCGTATGATCCATAATCACGGATCGATTGGATACTTTAAATGTATGTATATCAAAAGCCATAGAGTTCTAGAGAACATGGAAGGCTTCAGTCTTGAGCAAACATTCTCCTTTGCGCCACCAATTCTATGCATATTAAATACACTTATAGATCTGTGTCTGCAACAGAAAGAATGCTGAGCTTAAACAGACAGATTCCTTTCCTCCAGATAGTTGGGAGGAGGAGGAATCTATGAACCGGACTTGTCTCACAGGTAAGGCAGTCCAAAAATTTCATACGTTGTATACATACCATCTCCCTGGCTGGGAGTCGAACCCAGCTTTCGCGCGGTCTATATGACAGGCGCGTGTACTAACCGATATACTACCAGGGAGTTACTGTTATGTGGTTGTAACAACCCTTGACATGGAAGTTGAAGTCACAGAAGGTCATAGAAAGATGCAGTGGAAAAGCATGCCCCATATCTTGACTTGAGTTCATTTAAAAACGGGCTCAGACAAAACTCCGGTCCAGATATTGGTACAAAAACAAACAGATCCAAAACAATTACAAGCGCGACGTATAAGATAGATGAGCAAAAAGAGACCAAATAACAAAGGATGTGGCTATCCTTCCATCTCGTCGTCCGTATCTGAAAGCACTTCTCGGCTTTTGCTGTAGGAAGTAATAAAAAACATGTTCAGTGATTCTATCATCCAAATCGAAAGCTCAAACAACGTACAATTGTTTTTTGCGTTGAGGACCTGTTGCCTCGACACCTTCGTCCTCTTCATCTTTGACTACCTTCTTCTTTGGACGCTGTGAAATGAGAGATGAGTGCGTGCCGAAAAGACTACGGTCATAGAAATATGTCATACCTTTCTAGCCGGTTTTTCAGTCTCCTCATCATCCGAGAAGATACCTGGTTCTTCTCCTTCACCCTGGTCACCACCAGCTTTCCTAATCTTGCCTTTCCGTTTCCTCTTGGGTGCCTCGGCCTCATCACCACTAACTACTTCCACCTTCGGTTTCCTAGACTTCTTGGGTTTCTTCTCTTTCTCATCGTCACTGTCCATTCTCGCTTCGCGCGTCCACTCGAGAGCTTGTTCCCTAGCAATCTTACGTTGTTCTGCCAGCTTTTCAGCTTCTTTACGTAGTTCCTCCGTTCTTTCGCGCTGCAGGTTTTGAGAATTAGTCAATAAATGTTTGAATGCGAGATACACACAAATCATAGACTCACCTCGATAGCTGCAAGACGATCCCTCTCTTGTTGACGTATTTGTCTTGCCTCATCAAGCCGAGCTTTCGCTTCCTCCTCATAGTCTCTCTGCCTGGACAGGTGCTCTTCGCCCCTTCGCAACATGTTGTCACCATATTTGCGTCGTTGATCCGCAATGTCGCGAGAGTAAGGCAGCAAGGTTGATTGATCTGCGGCCAATGAGGCGAAGATCCTGTTCAAAGTTGATTAGTGAAAGGAACAGGAGGACAAAGGAACGGAAGTCCTACCTTTGTGCGTGCTGAGCTTGTTCGATGACGTGATGGAGAGTCTTCAGTGTTCGTTTCTCACATGGAAGAGTAAAGAGCATTTCGGCTGATTTTTGTTGGATCATGGCAATGTTGTACAGGACAGCCTTGTCATTGGGATGTAAATGAAGAGCCTACGAAGGAGGACGTGAGACGATCAGATCTCTCAAGATAGTGCAAGCGCTTGCCTTCTGAGCGTAATTGAGTGCAGTACATATCGAAGGATAAGATTGATCCTTCATAGCTTTAGCGTAATGTGACCGACATAGGCAGAGCAGTGTCGGGACATTTTTATTGTTGTAATATCGCTCTGAGGCAGTGAGGTACTATAAGATTGTAGTGAGCAACGTTCAATTCTAAAACAATGTGGACGACTCACACTTTCAATGGCCCTTTCAAACTCATCCCTCGAGTAGTAGCAATGACCCATGTTCAAGTAAACGCTCCCGTCGCTGATCGACTCCCGTACCCTGATAAAGATATCCAACGCCTCCCGGAGATACTTCATCCTCTTTGCAGCTTCATCCGGCCCAGGTGCTGGTGGCTGACCACTGAGAGTACCCAGCGCATCTTCGGCAGTAATGATTGCCAGACCCTGTGCAGCGAAAGCACACTGAGGATCTAGTTGCAAGGCCTTCTCGTAAAACTCTGCCGAACGAGTAAAGTTGCGTTTGCGTTCTTCCATACCCTTGGAGCTAGTTTCACGGCTCTCTCGGGCTTGGTGATACATGATCCATCCAGAAGCACACAACGAGTAAACATCGTACTTGTCATGATCCTTGAGGGTGGCCCAGACGAAATCTTTGGCTATTTTAGGGAGGTTAGTTTGGATGAGAAAGTGGGTGTAGAAAGCGCGGAGGTTGAGGTTGCCGTTCTGAGATGCTAAGGCTTGCTTGAGCAGATCATGAGCGTCATTGTTCCGATTGAGGTTGGATAGCAGTTGTGCTTGTCGAATTTTGGCTGTCAGTTTGGAGGTAATGAGTAGTATTCTGAGCAGAACAAGACAATCGCATACCATCAATATATTCAGGATGCCGTGACAATAACTTGTCATAAGCATCTTGAGCCATCGCATCTTCTCCCTGATCCTCATACACTCTGGCAAGGTTATACAAGATCGATGTCGATGTGGCGTCAGAACCTTCCGATGGATCCGACATGCTAGCCGTCAGGGCTTTCTCATAGAATGACCTCGCGTCAGCAAACTTGTCCTCTAGATGATGTAAAGCCCCAAGGTTGTTCAGTAATCTTGAATCAACCTTTCCTAATGCTTCACTGATTCTCAGCGCTTCCCTGAGGGCCTTGGCGGTCTTGTCCAGATTCTCATCTTGCCACAACCTGGCTAGCTCGACATGCATTCCTACATCTTCGCCTATTGTCCGTGATGCTCTGCTCGGACCTTGGCCATTGAGTTTGGCATCGTCCAATTCAAGAGCTTTAGTGACCCGGTCGAACAGTTCACGCGCACGGATACGTTCTTGTGCGATATCAGAACCTGAGACTCCCGGTCGAGGAAAGGCGCGAAGCGAGGCAAGCATTACTGTTGCCTCAGTAGATTTTTGAGGGTTAGGGGATTGGATTAACGTGTCAAGAGTGTGGATGGCACCGGCCATCTCGTCTGAAACAAGGTGTTTTAAAAAAGTCTAAATCAAATTTTGACACGGCCTACCATTAACCATTCGCATTTGAGCAAGCCCAATGGCAGCAAGTACATGCTTGGGCTGTCCTTCTGCGGCACTCTGGAAGTGACGCACAGCAAGGGAATTGTTATTCTCTGAATGACAAATACGACCGGCTCTGACATATCCTTCAGTGAGAAGAGTCAAGGTATCGGCAAATTGTATCGTTCGCTCGGCCAGCTTGAGCGCCTAACAGAGAATATCAGTATGCCAACCGACGAGACAAGAACGGTCCTCACTCTCTTGCTGTTGCCTTTCTGAATGAAAATCTCACAGAGTGCATTAGCTGCCGACGCATTCCGGTTGTTTGCGTTAAACGCCCGCTCGAGATATTTGGAACCAGTGAAGAGTAGTCGCGTTCTTTCTTCTTCAGTTTGACGTTCATCTTTGCTAGCATTGATTGCCTCCAATCCAAGTAACAACTGAGCCGACCATTCTGACGGGTTCTGCGTACATGTTCAGTTTATATGAGGACTTACCAAGACAGAATCGACTTACAAGCTCTAGGCTACGTTGCCATGCCATTTTAGCCTTGTCCTTCTTATCTAAAGCCCATAAACAAAGACCGATACCTATCCGAGGATCAGGCTGACAGTTGGGATTGTACCGTAAAACCAGTTGGAAGATCTGAAGGGCTTGAGCATATTGTCGGCGTGCATAGAGAATCCTGGCCTGGTAGGTCCCTGTTCTCAGAGGAGGATTTGATAATAGAGGTAGCAACTGACCTTTCCAAGTAAAGCGATGACATTAGTCGGTTTCTCGCTGAGGACCGTTTGAAAAGACTGCATTGCATCGTCTAATTCTCGTGTCGCAAGCTGCTGAATACCTGCACAGAGTTATGAGACTTCCTGCCAATACCAGTGTTGGGCAAATTACGCGCCTCTGGTTAAAAATGCCAATTCTACACTGCGCACTTGCTCTCCGGTCTCATTTGCGGTTTTCTCGCCTGTGTTAAGCTGATGTGCGGCTTCCCTGTAATATTCGTCTTTAGTCCGCTCATGAAGTATATCCTCACCTGTAGTGTAAATTCAGTATACAGAGAAAACATGGTCATTGAAGTAACTGACGAGCGTTTTGCAAGACAAGTTTTGGTGCTTTCCTTGCATGAGCTATCTGAATATTCGCTAGCATGGAATACACAGGCGGAAGAGAAGCAGTGCTGTCATTCATTCTGAAGCCTTCAGACCAGTTTAGTCCTTCGTCTAAAAACAATTTGGAAACACGCACATTCAATTGCAGTATTTGCAATCTTAGCAGCGGCCTCAAGATAACCTCTCCTCCAATATTCGCCGGCAAGCTTTGTCCAAACCCAAACTCTACACTGCCCTTCTCGCAACACGTCCAGCACATCATTAGGATTGGGGTCTATTTGGTCGAGGTCTATTGAGATGACTTCCTGGCCTCCAAGTTCAATTTCGAAATTGCGTCCTGTTGATTGAGATTCGTCATCCATCGCAACAGGAGTTTAAAGGCTCATAAAATCCAAAGACGCGTATCAACTGTGGTTGAGCCTCTTTGAGGGCGCTGAGAGCAATGTCGCCGGACTTGCAAGTTGACGGTTGTGACAAAACTTGTTCCTCGGTCACAGCCACCGGTCCAAGTCCTTCTACATTTCCTTTTCTTAAAGATGTCCTATTTCCTTCCCCATCTTCCCTCTGGATGGCACGTTGACGAAGCCATCAAGTCCGAAGAAGATCGGGTTGTCGTTATTCGATTCGGTCATGACTGGGACAGTCAATGCATGACTATGGATGAAACTCTTTACTCGGTCGCTGAAAAGGTCCAGAACTTCGCTGTCATCTACCTCTGTGATATTACAGAAGTGCCCGACTTCAACAAGGTGCGTAGACATTGCATGCAGGTTCCAAGCCATGTCGGCTTACCGCAGTGGTTCTGACCAGATGTACGAGTTATACGATCCTTGCACAGTTATGTTCTTTTATCGGTGCGTTCAGCTATCGTCTCTTTCTCAGTGCGTCGTAAATCTCATGGTCTGCAGTAATAAACATATCATGATCGATTTGGGAACCGGTAACAACAATAAAATGTCAGTAGGCTATGATTACTTCCGTATGTTGGTATTGACGATAACTTTGCAACTTGCAGAAACTGGGCCATGGATAATAAACAAGAGGTCTGTCATCCATCTATCCGAGAACGTACAAACTCAATAACGTTGTCATTGTGACAG